TATATATATATATATATATCACTTTGAATTCTATTAAAACCATTTCAGTGCACGTGAACTGATGGCCAAGACCAGATGGTCGAAAATTGAGCTCGTTTGAATATAGGCGTTATATAGGTGTTATACCATCATCTCCTTTTTCTTTATTCTACTCTTTCTCTCTCCCCCTCTTTCTCTCTCTCTCGTGTTTACCGTATGGACCATATATGTAAGCAGTTCAGCTGCTGCTGCTGCTGCTCCTGCTGCCCTTCCTTCTTCCGACACCGAAGCCGTCCCCCTGCGTCGCTGCGTGGTGTTTGTGACGGCCGCGCACGTGTGATGGCGACTAGTAGGCATGTAACGAACATCACAACCTAGCACAGCCTTGCCGTCTCATCTCCCTCATCTCATTATACACCTAGGAACTTGCCCGCGTCTTTAGTATTTCTCGCGTGCGTGCGTGCGTGCGTGCGTCCGTGTATATCAGTGGCACAGTGCGTTCGCGCGTACGTGGGTGTATGCGAATGCTCGCGCGCGTATACAGTAATGGAAGCATGCGAGTTGGTATGCCAATAGTCGTCTGGCGTGTATTCTGGCTGGTATATGCCTCTTCCCCACTGTCTCGCACAACTTCCGTATCAATATCCGTGAACCATCTCCGCCGGTGCGTACATCTACAGTAACCACGCCCAAGATGTCGGCCGCGACACCTACGGCGACAGCAGCGACACTCGTGACGACAGCAGCGACAGCCGCGGTGAGAGCAGCGACACTCGCGGCGACAGCAGCGACACTCGTGACGACGGCAGCGACACTCGCGGCGACAGCAGCGACACTCGTGACGACAGCAGCGACACTCGTGGCGACGGCAGCGACACTCGCGGCGACAGCAGCGACACCCGCGACGACGACAGCGACACTCGCGACGACGGCAGCGACACTCGTGGCGACGGCAGCGACACCCGCGACGACGGCAGCGACACCCGCGACGACGGCAGCGACACTAGCGGCGACGGCAGCGACACTCGCGGCGACTGTAGCGACACCCGCGGCGATACCAGCGCGCGTGGCAGATCAGAGATACTTGGCCGGCAAACGCAGAGTGGCTTACATCATTAGAGAGCGCGCTGCGAGTTCGCAGACGTAACGGCTAGCAGCTGACGCCGCCAGACAAATCACCGACTATTTGTCTTTGGTTAATTGGATGAGGACTATACGCCGGCAGCTGCTAATACCAGCAGCGCCAATAGGGATTAGGCAGGCGAGAGATTAGCGCGGGGTGCTGCCGGCACGTCGGGCTGACATGCACGTCAGCAGTAGGAGCAGGCGCTGGCGCGGGAGTGAGAGAGAGAGAGAGCGCGGAAAGCGCTCTTTACAGACTGCTCAATCCGGGCACTTTTCTTGGAGCCGCGTCTCGCCGGAAAGGTGCCATTTAAGAAGCTTTGCTCCGATAACTAGAGGTATTTTCGTGTAATTTCCGCGCCTACGCTGGCATACGCCTGTCTCGCGGTGATCTGCGGGCTGCCACTACTGGCATATAAAGTTCAAGCTGATTTTCATCCGGCTTATGCAGAAGCGCTGCACTGTGCATGCGTGCGTGCGAGCGTGCGTGCGTGCGTGTGCGTGTATGTGCAGGGCACTCGTGCGTACATCTAAGTGCGTATATCTGAGTGAATACTCGTGGATATGGGCGTTTATTCGTTTGTTAGGAATAAAGGTCGACTAAAGGGCCCGTAGTCTATTACTGCTCCGGCGCACGAGCTTATTTGTTCACGGCGTTCAAGACTATAGTCAGGATTTTTAGGTCTCTGTGCGGTTCCTTCACTAGCCGTTGCTGCTACATAGAAATCCGCCATACAGCGTCCAGAAACATTTGTTGATTCAGCGAGTTGTGATAATTGCTAAAAAATGGGAATCGTTTGATCGGATTTGGCGCGCACATGTGTAGGACTGAACGCGGGTAAACAAGCAGCCGCGATGGAAACAATATGTATTGACTGAGATGAGAGAGAGCCGACAGCGGGCGCTTGCAAACAGAGAAACGCCATTTAGCGGCCAGCGATGTTGACGTTGGCGATAGCGAAGACGTAAACGAGTAATGGATACGCGTGATGCACGCTGCGAAGTTGACGAGGTTAAAGTTAAATATTTTCTCTACCGAGATAGGCTGTTGAGCCGCAGACGGAAAAATGGATATTTGCTTCGTGAGACGCGAACGCAAAGAATGCGCGCTGTTATTGTTATGATATATATATATATATGAGACTGGCGAAATTATGGATAGGCTACACATTCCTTGACGCACGTGTGATGATAATAATAAAATTTACGTGTTTTACGTTGAAGAAACAAATTTAAAGCGACATTTAGCAGATGACGGAGTAATTTATGTATTTCAAATTGGCGCATTCGTATCTGGATATTTTTCTCTGCCTAGTTCTTGTCCCGATCACTTTGCTAAATGTGTTACGAGTATCGCAGGCGTGACGTCACGCTCAGTATGGCTGGTTCGTAGCGCGGGTGCTAGATGACAATTACTGCGCTGCTTTCACACGCATTCAACGTCATCGTAGATTATATCTGATTATCCGATATCGCCTTTTTATGTTACCGCACGTTGCAAAATTCTCAAGATAATTATTTGTGACGTAAGTCTAATCTCGCGCTTATAAGGGTGTGTGCGAGCGTGCGTGTGTGTGCGCGCGCCTATACCAATATTACGCTACTCAACAAGAGAGCAAAACTCGCTAGAACCAGTATTGCAGTCTCGACCTTGCGCCCGGGTAGTCTTTCAATATAAATTATGGACGCTGGCGATAATTAAAAGCAGATTTTAATTCTGCCGAAATTAACCGTATTTCCTTTCTTATTGGGGGCATGTGTGTAACCCAAGGGTGTATCAACACGCACAATCCCTGTACACATAAAGGGACTCTATCAACACGACTCGCACTGCACCCTCTGTATTCTGGCCAAATGAGCATCCTTAATAGCCCTGTCAGTGAAGTGACACATATGTGATTTATTGGGAAACGGGTGGGCCTAGAAGACATGTGCCGGTAATGGCCAATTGGTGAAACCCGCCGTCAGAAGAGGCGGTCAGAATAGACGAAGACTGCTATAATGAAATTCACGATAAAACGTATATTTCTTATACGTTGACGGGGAGGTTACTTGCTCATGACTGTCATGGTTTGGTCATGATGATATTTAGTTTGAACGTGTCAGCTAGTGTAGCACGGCTATGAATTTTTTGAATTTTTGCTACTCGCGGTAAATTTTCCCGCCTTTTCTGAATTTTCAAATCATCGGTTACGGTCATAGAGATCCTATCATCCACTATATATAATAGAATCTCTATGTTACGGTAGCCGATTTTATGACGATGTAGTTATATTGCGACTAGTAATATCAGCTGTTATGCTAGCTCTCAAGTGCTGATTAGGTACAAATGTACTACCAACCGTTTCATGGTCAAATATTTGTTGATTATGAAATTTCTGATAACCGCACTAGCTCCTTCAGGATATATTTCCTGCCTGCCAGGATATCGGTATAACCGGCGATCAAATGTATATTGCGTTATCAGGTATCAGACACATACCGATTAGATACCAATCCCTAACAATTTATACGCTATGTAGTACATCTGGAGGCACGCTATATAAAACTATACATTCAGGTACCACGCCAATAATTGTACCAAGAATTAATACGCAGATAACACTAACGTACGTTCTCTGTGTGATCTAGCAACATGTTTACTTTGGTATTATTAGACTATTAATAGGCCTATAAGTATCAATGTGCACTCCTGTACAATACGAAAGCTTGGGTTGTAAATCTGCGTTGCGCTATGTGAATAGATATTTCGGTTGGTTTTTCTGAAAAGCCGTCATTTATTTGATACGTTTTATACACCAAATAGTATTATAAAGATTTGAATAATAATTATTATGTAGTAAATAACACCCACCTGTTTCAAGCGACGCCATTTTGCTCGTCTGTTTTGGAACCATGTCTTAACCTGGAAGCAAAGATAGAGCGGGAGTATAGAAAATGGTTTTACATGCACAGATTAACATCAGATGTTCTAGAGTCTAGACAATATCTAAGCAATTGTATTTTACATTCCCACAGATTTTTTTAAATTTAAAATGTAGACAGAACCTTATACGTACACAGACAAATTATTGCTGTGAACCACATAAGACTATTCAAATACAGAGTCATACACATTTTTTTTTTTTATTTCGACACATGTTACGCGATAGTGCCATCAGCTGTACTCGTACGATGAGCATATATAACATCCGATAAGCGAATACGAAGCAGTCAATTGGAAAATTATATTGAATTTAGATTTTCTGAATGTTCAGCATTATCGGACAGCGGATGGGCAGGCAGGCGTATACAAAGTACAAAACTACAAAAGACACAATTTTCCGTGCTATGCCCGCTTCGCCTACGCATGCGCCTAAATACGGCGGCTGACAGGAAATAATAAATTTAGGCGAATTTTCGCCGCTAGTTTGGCTTATTCCCGATGTAAAACCATTGCCAATCCTCGGCAATTTAGCTCCCTAGTAATTTCGGACTGTCACATTCTGCGTTTGAAGGGAGGAGAGACCATCGATGGGTCTTATGTCGTAGTGCGACGGCTGCCTATAGACTGGCCCCGCAAGTCGTTAAGAATTAAGTTGACGGCAGTCAGGTACCTTTGGTATCAGTCTATGACAGCCACTGACAAAATCAGAAGAGATCGAATAGATCCACTAGGCCGACTCTAGGTTTCTGTGTCGGAGCCGGGCAGACATTCAGCGACTGCCCGGAATGATTCTCCAAAGACTTACAAAAGCAGACTAGTTTTACGCGAAGTATACGGAACGAAGGAAGGATCGAGGGGCGAGGTATTCCGCTGTTGTGGCGTGTGTCCGTCAAACAACAGTGTTTGTTGATGGTGTAGGACGGTCGGTCCTTCCCTACGCAGTGAAATGCGACAAACACACCGATGGCCTGATGGAGCCTGGCATAGTCAAGAAGTAACAACTTAATCACAGGAAATTGTTAGCCAGAAACACACACACACACACACACAAAACTCTCTTCGCTGGATCTCTCGCAGCGACGTTATTAAACACCTGCAAAAATTGCGCTGCTTTTGCGTTTGTTTTCTGTATGGCCAGATGGCCTAATGTAGTACGGGAGTAACTAGATTTGTATGCGCTTGTTCGTCTGCACGCCTCGGCGCACCCTACTGAAGCTGTCGTCCATCGCCATCATCATCATTACCTTCATCATCACCATCGTCGTCGTCGCCGTCGTCCCAACTACAATGCCCTAATAGATAATGAAATTTTCTGTTCGTGTATTATGCTGGGGAAGAGGATGATTGGTACCGTGATTACTCACAGCAGTTCAGTCAATCCCGATACAAAGGTAGCGATACTAAACTAACTGCACGTGTAAGCATTAGCGGCGGACAGACGATTTGTAAGAGCGATCAAATGCATCGGAAAATGTCACTCACCGCCGCCTGTGATTGGTGCAAATTGTTTACGGGTTCACCTTGCTTGTCTAGCGTAATTCTATGATCGAATCACTTAGCTATCATAGTCTATCAGATGCTTTGTTATGTTACCCGGTATATTTGAAACCAAGTAGCTCTTGATTTCGCTAACATGAGTCCATGTTAGGTCATATATAGCGTCGTATATATATATAACTAGTCGAACATACACTGAGTGGGAAAACCCCAAAAGGTCTTGTCGTCGGGACTGCACTTAATTTCACATACACAGGTCAAACCTCCTTTGCACATTTTTCTACCCATGGCGAAGTTAGAATTTAGGTGAGCGATTGGGGTTAGTGGTCACTGGTTAGTGACGATGTATTAACATGATGGTGATGTTGTTGTTGTTGTTGATGATGATGATGATGATGATGATGATGATGATGATAATGAGGACGATGATGATGATGATGATGATGATGATGATGATGATGATGATAATGAGGACGATGACGATGATAGTGATAGTGACAACGACGACAATGATGACGATGACGACGACGATGATGATAATGGCAATTATGTTGTAAGTACGAGTATCTTACAGTTGATTTGAGCCCTGCACACATGCACGCATACCCGGGATCACGTATACCTGGCGTTCTGTTAGCTGCAGCAACTTGGCGAGACGCTTGCGTTCGGGCGGAGAGAGGTACTTCTGCGCTTCGAATTTCTTCTCCAGCTCCAGGGTCTGGTCGTTAGAGAATCTCACCTGTCCGCCCTTACGCTTGTGCAGCGGTCGCTGGAAGAAGGGACTCCACAGGATCGGCTTCGCTCCAACTGTCCGGAAACAAATACAAGGGGTCGTACGTGTTAGGTTATAGTTCCGTTGGGCTAGCTTTACTGCACTCACTTATGGTATTTTCAGAACACTCATAGTCTGCAAGCAGTCTGGCCAAAGTAAATAGCCGAAGCTATAGAATTTAGTATTAGAGCGTTGTTCGGGATAGCAGTCCAGAGATGCAGATAATCATATATGATCATTAATAGTCAATATGTGGAGCATATTATTCCTTCGGGATATTACTAAATTATTAAAGTTAAATATGAAATATAAGAGCTGTGCATTATGTATATATATATATATATATCACGAGTTAAATGTAAATTTAATTAAGCATTAGTTACATTATAATGACTAATTGTCATTAATTATACCCCTGATATATAATATAACTATATATATATATATATATATTATATATATATATTATAGAGAGAGAGAGAGAGAGAGAGAGAGAGAGAAAGAGAGAGAGAGAAATTAAAATAAAATATAGTACGTGCAAGGTATATAGTCAGAAGACAAACTTTCATTATTTCATATAACTATTAATTATATAATAATTTAATTAAAATTTTAATAATCATAATGTTTCTCTTTATCTATAAACCCTGTATGTATGTATTTCTATTATTTCATACACGTTTCAGGTACGTCTATGCATCTGTGAGACGCCGCGTAAACAAATAAATTTATGCGCGGCACTTCATGGTATAGATGCAGCCTACGATGTGTTCACAACGATAATGCTCGAAATTCGTGTGGCTAATTTCGGGACGTGAGAATAGAAAAAATCGAAAAACGGATTAAGACTACCTCGCAACAAAGTGGCTGCTTCGTTTCCTTCTCCGCGATTGCTTATGATCTTGAATCACGCGTTAATCTTATAACATACAGAGATCGAAGATCGATCGAGAGAGTCGAATCATCTGATTAGGGCTCGTCGGTTCTACATCGTATCAAATAATATGATAAGTATATATATAAATATATATATAATATAGGCTCTGTATTATATTTCGCCCGCGTCTATGTCGTCATTTGTATCCCTGATATATATATAAATATATATATATATATATATATATATATTATAGAGAGAGAGACCCTCGACGCTGGAATCCGTCTTCTTCCGGCGAACGGTTCCGGACGTGGTTCGCATCTTACGTTTCGTGGACTGCAGATGGAGGAGCCTTCCTGCGTACGAGGGAGAAGAGGCGCCGAGAATGATGAGCGAGTTAGCGCCTGCAACCGAATTCTTTAGATTGTTCATTCTTTAGACCTGGAAGGACTATGAGTAAGGCACAATCTAGAGCAATCCAGGAACGTAAAGTGATAAGGCCAGAGAGAGAGAGAGGAGAGAGAGGAGGAGGGAGAGAGCGCAGGAGGAGAGAAAAAAGAGAGAGAAAGAGAGAAGAGAGAGATGAGAGAGAGAGAGAGAGAGAGAGAGAGAGAGAGAGAAGAGAGAGAGAGAAGAGAGGAGAAGAGAAGATTCCGGTATAACCGGTTGACAGTTGCGCGTGAAGTAGCGGGCAGCGTAGTGAGCGCACCGCAATACACGGGGTCTGGCCGGCCACCGCATACACGTCGGCTGCGCGCTCATCAGCCGGCTGGCGACCACACCTCACACGAATCAGCTCTTCATAATGGCCGCTCTGTTATTGACGAACAGCGAGCTGAAAGCGGGAATGCCGGCCACAGTATATACACAGTTTGCGTTTCGAAACACCACGCTTCGAGGGGCGGCGGGGCGGGTTCAAGACTGGTGGTGGACAAAGTGATCGCGAAGGAAGGCCATGCGTGGATATATATGGACCCTCATTGGCACGCTCTCTGCCCAGTGTTTTTGTTCGTCGATGCGTTCATTAATTCTCAGTAAAAACCTAATTACGTATATAAATACTTTCGCGCTAAAAAAACTTTCGCCATGTTGTTTCGCGCTAAGTTTAGGGGGCACAAGCTTATAAGTTACACATCTAGTTCGGAGTCCTCAACCATGGAATACAGAATTCGAGAACGATCAATATATCCCGTTCACACTTCTAGCGCGGGACGGGGGGGCGTGGAGTGGCGTGCTGGGGACGGGGCATGCATTGCATGAGAATTGTATAAAGGATTATCGCGGCTGTGTAAGTAATTATAACTATTACCCACCATGGGTGCGTATTGTATCGAGACCACTGCGATGTGGTAACTGGTCTGCTCGGTGCGTGGGTGGGTGGGGGGGGAGGGGCGTCGTGCGTGCGTGCGGGGGGTCTGCGCTGCTGCGTCTGCTGGGGCTGCTCGTCGGTGCTCTGTCGTCTCGTCGTCGTCTCGTGGGTCGTCGTCTGCTTCGTGGTCTCTCGTCTCTCTCGTTTGGCGGTGCGTCTGCTCTCTCGGGTCTCTCGTCTCGTTCGGGGGGGGGGGTGCGTCGTGCGAGCTGTCTGCTGCGGTCGTGCGTCGTCGTGCGGCGTGCGTGCGTGCGTGGCGTGCTTGCGTGCGTGCTCGTCGTCGGGGGGTCTTCTGCGGGTGGCGTGCTGGCTCGTCGTGGGGCGGTGCGTGGGGGTGGTCTCTCCTCATCTTGCGGGTCTCATCTCTCTCTCTCTCTCCGTGTTCTCGTTGCTCTCTCTCTCTTCTGCTCTCGTCTCTCCTCGGTCTCTGCGTCGTGGCGTGTGCGTGGGGTTCTCTGCTCGTCGTCGCTGAGTCGCCTCTGCGGGTAGTCTCGGTGTCGGGTGCTCTGCGTGCGTCGGTCTCGTCATATCTCTCGTTTGCTCTCTCGTCGTATCTGGCTTTGCGCTGCGTGCGCGCTGTGCGGTGCGTTCTCGGTCTGCTCTCGTGGCTCGTCTCGTCTCATTCCTCGTGAGTCATTGTTCGTGACATGTAAGCATTTCCAGTTTTCACCTATAACGTGATCAGAAACCAGTATCGAATTATCACAGCAATCCTGCGCGACCTATACTGCTAATGATCACAGATGGCGTGATAAATGATGACTGAATGATTCACGTTACTGTCACTAGGAGGTTATAACTTACTCCACCCGTCATATGCTGACATGCGAACGCACTGGAGGGGACAGGCCGCAGACAGTCAATTGCAATGGGCTGTTGACTTACACCCTTTAATTGCCTCAGCTCATTTCCAGTCAAGGCGAATTCTATGAAACCTTTAAGCTAATGATTCCGTTTTTTAGTGTACATCAGCAAAAACGCTGACCATTTTTAATATTCATGTCATAGAGTGAAAATTTGGGGGTCGTACACTTATGTGGACACTGGGCACTTCAGAGTTGATACACATATGTGTACATCAAGTGCTAAGATTTACTGTGTGTCTGCGTGTGCCGTGGCGTGGAGGTTTGTTGTGGCGTAGCGCGTGTGATGCGCATGGCGTGATTCATATGCAGGCGACAAGGCATACAGGATAGACAGAATAGACAGGACGAATCAGACAGCCAGCAAGCCAGCAACATACAGACGTGCATAGCATTTACATACATACATACATACAATACATACATACCATACATAACATACATACATACATAACATACTACATCATACATACATGCATACATACATACATTACGATTACATACATACATACATACATACAATACATCACATACATACATACATACAATACGAATAATACATACATACTCATACAATACATACTACATACAATAAATACATACATAACATACATACGAATAACTTACATAATACATACATACACAATACCATACATACATACTACATACAACAGGGACAGACAGACAGACGAACGGACGGATAGATAGACAGAAAAACAGTCAGTCAGTCAGACAGACAGAACAGCTAGGAAAGGTGTTGGAATCGCCAGCGACATAATGCTCAGCCACAGCGCTGTGCTGCCTTTGTAGCGCGACCCACCAGACCAACCGATGCCGCATGGTCGTCGCAAGTACCAATGACATAGTTCACGCTAACTGCCTAATCGTGCGTCTATGCGTGCTTAAAATGGGTCTGATGCGCTTGTTTTGCGCTGAATAATTGACGAATTGGTTTTTCAATTCCGAACAAGAGCTCATCTAATCATTATATTATAGATATACAACGGTAGACGCATGGATATTTAATGCGGCCTGCTGTTTTTTTTTTTTTCTCGCACACGGCTCACATAGTCTGAATGTGCTCGCTTTGCTGGGATCGCACGGCACAGTAACCGAGCGATAAACGACCATTGTTGTGCACGCAAATTTGCATTAACGGACACAAGCTTCTCAATACGTGTTTACTGTGTATATTTATAGGGTAAGATAACTGGGGGTCGGGATGCATGCGCGTGATCGCCGTTCTATGTAAACTTGTGCGCGTGTGCGTATCGGTATATATATATGTATATACGTGTAAGATTGCATACTTGAATACGTAACACGTTTACGATTGAAGTAGCGGATGGTATCGATGCATGACAGGTATAAGCATGCACGCGCGCACACACACATACACCTGTTGCGCGCACACACACACACACACCAACACACACACACACACATACATACACACACACACATACAACACACACAACCACACACAACACCACACACACACACACACACACAACATAAGCGCAACACACGCAGACACACAGCACACACACACACACACACACACACACACCACAACACACACACCACACACACACAACACCACCTGAGCGCACCACAAACGCAGAACACGCCCACATTCCGCACGCAACACAGACACAACACGCACGCACGCACGCAGAACACGCTTATCGCAACGACACAGGCAACTTCAGCCCGCGATGCCCAGAGAAAGCCTGTGGGGTGCCTGTGCATGCAGAGGCGTATCGCGGGCGGCGCCATGGCTAGAGCGAGGCGTTATAGTACAGAGATATTGATTCCGGTGACACGCCAAATTATCACGCAGGGATGGGCTAGCGTGTATGATGCGTATATAGTGTGGCGTGGGTTATGGTGGAACAGAGTTAGAATTGACGAGGGACAAAGAAA